AATTATAACAATGAAATCTAAAATAATAAAAAAAAAATATATATATATATATAAAAAAATATTAAAATAAAATAAAAAATACTAGTTTTATAAGAAGTTGGGAATGGTGAGAGCATTTCACATGTGCAGAATGGTGCAAAACAATATAATACAGTGTGAAAGCAAAGTAGTATTGAAGGGACAATCAAATTCAGCTTCATATTGAGCTTTATATTGAATATAATTAGGCTCTGAATTTGGGAATACAGTCAGATATTTAAGTCAGATGTTAATATTATGTCTAGACTAGACATGATTGGCACTGCAGCACATTGATGTTAGGCTGTCTACACTGGAAGCATATTGAGCCTGATGCTGGTCTGAACCTCATTCCTCCGTTCCTTACCCAACACCTCAGGGTTACGCAGCTGAGACGGCGAGTCTGAAATCTCCAGCGTCCACGTGCCCTCCGCTCTCTCCCCCCAGCAATGAACCGTCATGAACTCCCAGTTCCTGAAGCCCTCGTTGGAGTTATCAAACAATCTGGAAGACAGAAGAAACAGAGGTCAACGCTTCAGAGAGAATAATGAAAATAAGGCGATAAGACAACACAAAGTCATGTGTTACGCTGCATCACTAGTAACCAGAGGCGGACAAAGTACACAACTCCATTACTTAAGTGAAAGTACAGATACTGCTGGTCAAATATCACTCCATTACAAGTAAAAGTTGTAAAGACAGATTTTTACTTAAGTAAAAGTACAGAAGTACTTGCTTTTAAAAGTACTCAAGTACCAAAAGTAAATTTCCTTTTTTATGTCAATGCACTGTTTTATTATGTGGCTTTATAGGTAATATTTTCACTTACACAATTAAGCAAAATCAGATAATATTGTGTCTAATATAAACCACAATATTAACTTCTTATTATTGAATTGTTGTAAATAAATATCACGTTTGCAACTGGGCAGTGTTCAAAAAATGCTGGGAAATCACTTCATGTAGCCGTACAAGAGTAATTACTGATAAACTGTCTGAAAAAAAGAAAGTCACGTTATAGAGAAGAAAAAAGTCACCCACTGACTTTCAAAGCTGCTAATGACTTTCTACTTCAAGGACCTTGATAGAAATGTAGTGGAGTGAAAAGTACAATATTTGTCTTTCAAATGTAGTGAAGTTAAAGTTATAAGTTCCCAGAAAAAATAATACTCAAGTAAAGTACAGATACTCAAAAAGTGTACTTAAGTACAATACTCAAGTAAATGTACTTAGTTACTGTCCGCCTCTGCTAGTAACTGCTTGTTATTCACAGTGACGATCTCTCAAAAGAATCTGAACCTCCTCAATAATAGATGCTAAATTAACCAACTAAAGCGTAAAACTTTACTAACAAACTAAAGTGATTAAATGAACTGTTTCTAACTAATGTGATTTGGAATGACACGAGGGTGAGTAAATGACAGAATTGATCATTTTTGGTTATCCATTTAAAGTATTTCAGAGTGAAACAAGATATTCAATGAGAATAAAAGGGGCGTGGCTCTATTTGATCAACAACACACAAATAAACAACAGAACCATATATATGCAATATGATTCATAGACCTTTAACCATACAGATTTGCCTTAAAGAAAAAAAATATACTAATCATACTACTACTACTACTACTAATAATAATAATCATTTTTCAGGCTTTTTTATAATTAATTAAATAATAAAAAATCTAACATATTAAAATCTAGCAAATTTCTACACACCCTGATCTATTAAATTGATCCATTACCAGATTTTCCTTCAAATAAATATAAGACAAACATAAATACTTTTTCAGGCTTTAGGGTAAAGCATAACAATTAAATATGATATTATAACTTTCTGCTAGGAGATTATCCATTATTCCTTCATACTAACCCTATTTTTATGGGCAATTTTAATGCAGATAGACTTAAACCTTCACAACCAACTGCACCAAATTATTGTGTATAAAACAACAAAAGACAAATACCAAAATAAATGCATAACAGCATCTATCTATGATTATTTCTGTAGCCTTCATTCCATTAACAAACATTAACTAATGCATTACCTACAACCGAAATTAATGACTAAAAGCTATATTTAGTTTAACATTAGCTAATAGCCTTAGGGGCCTGAATGTCATCGGACAAGTAAAGTCATTTAAGAGTTGGAGCTCATTTAAGAACCATTAACAGAACCAAACATTACGGAAATCATTCGGTTCCAGTAAATTGCTGCTTATGAGCATGAACTCACTCTCTAAGTGTCAGGCATCAACAAACCGTGGTTCTCATTTGCTCACGCGTCCTGCGGTCGTGAAGCGTCTGAGGTCCTCTGCGCTCTTAGAGCACTAGCGCTCGCTTTGACCTGAACTCATACTGATAAAACACTCCACCCCCTGAGCTCCGTCCACAATCACACCACTAATGAGAGCTTTGCAAAGCTGCCGTTTCTGAACTTTTCTGAACAGGCTTGGACAGTATTTTATTTTGCACATTACATCTGCGCGCTTTCTTCTCCAGCCACCAAACGAGGCGTCTGCGAGATGGTAAATCTGACCTGCGTTTGGCTCTGGCAGCGTGCATGTTGAATAAATGAGCTGAAGGGAGGTCCCGACCACAGCATCCCTCCCCATAATTCAAAGCAAATGTCTTTCCTGGCAATTCGCAGGCGTTATACAGATGACGCTCCATTGACTCCACAATGCGACTCTCAGCGCTGAATGGCCGGGGTGAGAGAGCAGCACTCGGGAATTCGCAGGCGTTATACAGATGACGCTCCATTGACTCCACAATGTGACTCTCAGCGCTGAATGGCCGGGGTGAGAGAGCAGCACTCGGGGCGACCGGTGGCTGTTAATAAATGCTCTCTGAACGCGGGAAGCCCCATTAGGCTGTCACGTCTGTTATCACAAAAGCAGACGCGCAGTGGGAGATGTTTGTGCAGGGGAGGATTTTGACAGCTCTTCCGTCTCCACGCAGTAAATAAGACATGGAACGTCAAAACAATACGCTTTCTGTGGAGGAGTGAGAATGGAGGGACATTCATGAAGACAAACGAGTTGTTACAGACAGAAGACGGCTCTGGCATTTTATTTTGCCAAACATTTTTGAAGAGACACGTTTCCTTCAAAAAAAAAAGTTGTGTGACATCCTCCAAACCATGAACAAAACTATGCAAGCTTTTTGTAAATAAATAAATTAATTAAAATACAGTGTATTCAAAGTATACAGATTTTTTTTTCAGATTTTGTTGTTGCAGCCTTATGCTAAAATACTTTAAATTATTTTATACATTTGATTTTAGTGATATTTTTGCCATTTAAATGTCTGAAGAGCCACATTTCCGCCAATGTAATATCTTGCAAAACTAAAAGTTGTGTAATATCCTCCAAAACCAAGGAACAAAAATATTTAAGATTTAAAATAATAACTGTAATAACAGAAAAAAAAACTAAACAAACAAACACACCAATAAATAATAGTGCATTCAGAAAGTACTCAGATCTTATTATGTTTCATATTTTATATTGTAGAATTATGCTAAAATACTTAAAATTACTTTATACATTTGATTTTAGTGACTTTTTTGACATATAAATGTCTGAAGAGCCATATAAGTTGGGGGAAACGCAAGATTCATAATAAATAAATAAAGTCCGTTCAAAAAGTATTAAGACCCATTCATTTTTTCACATTTTGTTATGTTGCAGTCTTATAAAATAACTTAAAGTCTTACATGCTGCATGTTTGATTTTAGTGGCATTCTTGGCATTTCATGTCTGAAGAGCCACATTTCCCAGAAGAAAAAGTTGTGTTATATCCTCCAAACCATGAATAAAACTATGCAAGATTTTTTAGAAATAAACAAGTAAATGACTTTTAAATAAAATAAACATTAATAGTTTTTTCTTCAGATTTTATGCTGCAGCCTAATGCTAAAAAGCTTAAATTATTTTACATATTTGATTTTATTGACTTTTTAATGACACTGGAAGCTTCACATTTTTCTCCCAATATAATTTGTGTAATATCCTCCAAAACCAAGAACAAAACTATGCAAGATTTCAAATAATAACTGTAATAATCGAAAAAATAAATAAAGTGCAATCAGAAAATACGTTACGTTTTTAACATTTTGTATTACATACTTTTAGATTTGATTTCAGTTACATTTTTATCATTCAAATGTCTAAAGAGACATATTTCTCCCATTAAATGTTGTGTAAAATCCTCCAAAATGTAATTAAACACAATTAAATGAATAGTGTATTCAGAAATTATTCGGACGACATTATTTATGTTGCAGCCTTATGCTAAAATACTTGAAATTATTTTATATATTTAATTTTGTTGACATTTTTGTTTACTTATGTACGATGTACGTTCTGGTCCTCGGTAAGATTTGGGTGCTGAGCAGAAGCAGCTGAGAGCAAGTGATTTGGAGCGTGTGAGAGTTTTATTCATGAGGGTTATGAGAATGATGCTCAGGATCTCTCAGTGCTCATAACCGTGCGGGAAAACCAGGACCAGCAGAGAGGATATCAAACCTCTGCGTGATTGACAGCACGAAGCTTCCTGTGTGACAGAAACCAGCGCAGCCAGATCAGACCCCATCAGCCTGTGTAGACTCCTCTAGAATACACTACGGTAAAAGCAGCATATCACCACATTAGTGTTTGTATGAGGGAAACCCAAGTTCTTGGACACTACAAGTGTCTACAGAAGAGACACAAAACACAAACTTTTATCTGTTTTGAAGCACATAAATGTTGAAAAATCTTCACAGACTCCTTTTCCATACAACAACAGTTCAAGGTGACCACATCTTTCAAGCTCCAAAAACAAAGGGGGGGGTGAAAGCACCATAAAAGACAACCTAAATTGCAGCCTTATGCTAAAATACTTGAAATTATTTTATATATTTAATTTTGTTGACATTTTTGTTTACTTATGTACGATGTACGTTCTGGTCCTCGGTAAGATTTGGGTGCTGAGCAGAAGCAGCTGAGAGCAAGTGATTTGGAGCGTGTGAGAGTTTTATTCATGAGGGTTATGAGAATGATGCTCAGGATCTCTCAGTGCTCATAACCGTGCGGGAAAACCAGGACCAGCAGAGAGGATATCAAACCTCTGCGTGATTGACAGCACGAAGCTTCCTGTGTGACAGAAACCAGCGCAGCCAGATCAGACCCCATCAGCCTGTGTAGACTCCTCTAGAATACACTACGGTAAAAGCAGCATATCACCACATTAGTGTTTGTATGAGGGAAACCCAAGTTCTTGGACACTACAAGTGTCTACAGAAGAGACACAAAACACAAACTTTTATCTGTTTTGAAGCACATAAATGTTGAAAAATCTTCACAGACTCCTTTTCCATACAACAACAGTTCAAGGTGACCACATCTTTCAAGCTCCAAAAACAAAGGGGGGGTGAAAGCACCATAAAAGACAACCTAAACAACCTGTGTGCTATACTGAAAGACTTCTGAAGTCATAAAGTATAATATCTTTGTATGAGGAATTATGAGAATGTGCTTGTTGTATGACGTGCTTAACACGCTGGTGCTTCGCGCACTTTCTTCTCTATCGCAATGAGCTGCAGTGCTCAAGTGGATGATGCAAGATCAAACTCTTTCATCATTTCCTGTCCTCTCTCCACAATCCAGCCGATAAAAGGCAGAAGCCACTAAAACTATAAAGCGGTTGTTATGTGCTGGTGTGTTCTGAATCACCTCTGAGCCAGCAGCTGTGATCGCGTCCCTGAGGGGGATACGAGGCTGATCTCCAGGTCTCCTCTGCGCGGGTGGACGATGAGGACGCGCACCACCACGTGCTCCAGAAACCCCACCTGCTGATCCGGCTGATCGCTGCAGCCGCTGCTCGAGATGCTGGCGTTCAGCTTCTGATCTGCTCGAATGTACCTGCAGGAGGATCCAAGGGGGTCAGCGGAGAACGGGTCCGAATGTAAAACACAGATCTGTTAGGCTGATTAGGCTGTCAAGATGTGTGTATATCATACGAAACACGGATTAAAAAAACGTCAGGTTATATGTGACCCTGGACCATAAGGCAGTCATAAATCGCTGGGGTATATTTGTAGCAATAGCCAACAATACATTGTATGGGTCAAAAATATCGATTTTTCTTTTATGCCAAAAATCATTAGGATATTAAGTAAAGATCATGTTCCATGAAGATATTTTGTAAATTTCCTACTGTAAATATATTCAAACTTAATTTTTGATTAGTAATATGCATTGCTAAGAACTTCATTTGGACAACTTTAAAGGCGATTTTCTCAATATTTTGATTTTTTTTTGCACCCTCAGATTCCAGATTTTCAAATAGTTGTATCTCGGCCAAATTTTGTCCTATCCTAACAAACCATACATCAATGGAAAGATTATTTATGTATAAATTTCAGTTTAAAAAGTTGGCCCTTATGACTGCTTTTGTGGTGCAGGGTCGCATATGAGAGTATAGATAATAAATAGTTACTGATTTTAAAAACATTGTAAAAAGCTTTCAGAAACTTGATGTCTTAAAGGGAAGCATCATTTTTTAAAAGCAAAGTATGAATGAAATAAGTGGATGGTAATTTATACGGTCAAAAAGGTAAAATAACACCATAAATGTACCATAAACCAGGGATATTACAGATAAAGAAATAAATAAAAATAAAACCAAACTTGAAATAAACTTGAAATAATACTTGAAATAAAAGAAACTTTAAGCAAAATTAAATTAAATGAAATTAAACAAAATTTAAAGTCAGGGATTTTATAGTGAATTCAAACTAAAACCATATCAAAATATATAAAACAAACTAAAAATTTAAATGAAAATACATGAAAATATAAAAATAAAAACAAATTAAAAATGTCATAAAAACTATAATACTACCTCAATTATACATTGTTATTATTATTATTTTATATAATAACACTGGCATACAAATGGGCCTTAAAAATGTGCTCTATTTCATGTATTCTGAAGTCAAATGATAGCTTTGTTTGAGACGCAAGTTGAAATTTATGTTTATTAATCTCCATATGAACTCCATTATAGCTGATTGATGACTTTTATGCTGCATTTTTGCTCTTTTATACAGCTTGGCAATGAACATCAACATCCACATTCAACGTATGAAAAAGAACAGATCAGAATAACATTTTACGTTTCACAAAAGGAAAAATATAATCTGAATGACACGAGGACGAATAAATGATAACTTGCAACGCAGAAAATGCATTCTCTCCATGACACGTGTAACGTAAATACATAATTTTTATATGTTATAGTTGTAATATACTTAAGTATATATATCTTAAAAACACTGAATAAAAATAATATATAAATATGTATATAGATTTAATACATCTTGTGTACTTTTCATGAAGAATAGCAATAAATCTGGAAAAACAACACTACTGGTTTATAAAGTGACTAAACTACATTTCCCATAATCCTTTGTGCAGCTAGAGCATCAATCACACCCCTAATGGGGATTGTTAAGCTAAAAAAAAAAAAAGTAATAAAGACGTATTAAATTGCCTGACCCGTTGATTTTATTCCAACCCAAATCATTTAAATCACATCGTAAGCATCAGAATGTCTGTTACACATAACCTTCCCCTTAATAGTGTGAAAAATAATAAAACCAAGCACACACATTGTCATATTTACTCTTCCACAATGCCGTTTCGTGGCTCATTAAGCTGCGGGATCATCTATTCGTTCAGTCTGGAAGCTCGTTTTGGATATTAAAGACTTTTTTCCTTGGGAGTGACACCGTTTCAACGGCTTTATAATGGCGGCTGCACCGTTTTATGGCTGTGCTGATAAACAACAGCGCACAGATGGCAGCTAAATTAGTCACTTAAGGTCTGAGCCATTATTTAGCACACGTTCAGAAGCAGCATCACCCAGAAATACGCTATAAATGGAGATTACGCTACAGCCTCGTTTCAATCTTGAGACTGACATTCAAAGGAAAAGGAAGGCTGCGCCTCTTCAATTTAACAGGACAGCTTGAGGTGAAACTTTCAGCTGAAACACGAGGGCAAACAGCGTCCATATGGAGACCAGGCATTTTCCTGGGTTTCAGCTCGCACAGGAAAAAAAAAACAGCCGTTAGATATATCTTTAAAAAATATTTCAAAATATACATATAAATGAGCTAAGATTTATTTAATAATATACAAAAATATTTAATAAAATAGATTAATATTAAAATATTAATAGATAAATATTAAAATATTATTAATTTATTAATAAATTTATATTTAAAATTAAATACATTTAAAATAAATATAAATGTAAATAATAATACTGAAAATGAAGGAAAAAGTATGAAATAATAATAAATTAAAGCTAAATAGAAATTAAAAAAAATATATATATATATACAGGTGCATCTCAATAAATTAGAATGTCGTGGAAAAGTTCATTTATTTCAGTAATTCA